AAAAATTAAATTCCTTTCACACTGCTGTGTTTAATTTTTTAAACCCCTCCCCCTTTCAAAAACCCATTTCCCTCTCATGAAACAAAAGGCACTAGGGCCCCCCCCCCGGCTTTTTGGGCCTTTAAATTATTTTTTAAAATGTCCTTTTTGGGGCCCCAAACACATTTTTCCCCCTTGAGAAATTTGTTTTTTACAAAAAGGGGAGCCCCTTTGGGGGCGCCCCCCCAAAAAAATTTTTTGGGAAACATGGGGACGGGCTAAAAATCGGCCTCACGGTCGATGTTTAAGGTGAGGTGTAAACCAACCTTGAAAATTCTTTTACCTCTATCTCATTTTGCATTAGAAGTTTAGCAGCACTTTGAAATCAGTTTTTGAATGGAAAAAAAAACAATGCAAAAAATAGTGGTTTGAATTTTTCGCAATTTTGAGACGTTTCCCCCCGTTTGCCATGGTAACAGGAAATTTAAGATTGAGCATGTTGCTTACAGGAGGTTATGTTTCCGTCTAACATAATGTGCCAAGTTCTCATCAGTTATTGAAGCCATTTTTTTTCATAGTTTATAGCAGTTAGCTGGAACTTGCAACAGGAGGCTTTTTCAATGCAAACACGGCCATTTTTCCCCACAATATGCCTTCATGAGGGAAAGCGGCCGTTAAAGTTGCAATTTTTAGCCTTACATTTTCTGTCCACCAGCCTAATATGCAGGTTCAATACTGATGACAGCTGAAATTATTTCACAGATTTTGGACCAGGATAATCCCTTTGTAAGGGCCAAAGCCTGCGGGGGGTGGGGGGGGGGGGGGGGGGGGGGAGTAAACTCCAATATACAAAATTAATTAACAATTAAAACAGGCTGACTTGTTAGAAACAAACATGTTTGTTTCCTAACATAAATCCGACCCATTTTTCATTAGAAATAATTCCAAATAAAGAGAAAAAACAAAAATTTTCTATTCTGGAAAAGTGATTTTTATTATTTGAATAAAGTATATCAAAAGAACAATTAAACAAAATGTATAACACAGTTCTGATTTGTCTATTCATGTAAAACTTACTAATAAATTATATCTTGGCCAACACATAGCTATAACATCAAAAAAAGGACTTCACTTTTTAATCTATTTATAGTGTCATAGTTAAATAAAAGGTTTGATATTTATAAAATGTATATTAACTATCAAAATTAAAAACATTATGAGCTACATCTCTTTTTAAAATTTAAGTTCTATGTTTGTTTCATAAACCACTTGAATAATAACTTCATGAATAACATGTTGTATGTTGTTAATAAAATAACTATAGTCCAATGATCAACTTCCCTGTCTGATGTTACACTGTCTAATTGATCATTATTAATTCATCTATCAGACTACAATTGCACCATAACTGTCAATTACTTTACTTTCGCTAAATAACACATCAAATATAAGGCCTAAAAATTCAGTCAAGGACAAATTGCTTAATTAACACAAGTGTTTTCACAATAAGCAGCTGGTAATGGGCAAAATTAATTATCTGTTTGTTTAATGAGCAATTTGATTCATCTAGGTTGAGCATCATTCTATTTCTAGCAGTAATCATCATAACATATCTTTATTCCAGCGGGCAAACAAAACATTTACAAGTATCTCTTTTTTGTTGTTGTTGTTGTGATTTCAGACAGATAATCACAACATGGCTTTCAAGTCAGAAAGAGCTCTCTGCAGGCCTATAGTGGTTGTAATGATTGCTGACTGAATCACTTACCCCCACACCTTTGAGCAATAAACTGTAGCTTATATCCCAATCACGTTCTTACAGCGACCTAAACCGGTATTTTACAGGACTTAGATGTGCATTAGGTGTTCACAGGATTTTTATAGTTACAATGGTGTTCCTAGGACATTTCAGTCTCCGGGATGCACTAAAACACTGATCATTAGCATGTTCAGAAAGATTGTTGTCAGGCTAGGTGTCCTGAGGCAGAAATAGGGTCTTCCAAGCAACTTGACTTGTTTCAGACTTTACAGTGTCCATGGGGTTTAAACTTCATTTTAAGGTTCTGCTTCGAATGCTGTAAGGTCGCAAGTCCAGTGTGGACAGGGGTATTAAGGTCAGTGATCCAAGCACTTCAGGTGTAAGATTCACCATGTAAATTATCAAGGATGATAATGACCTTCTCTTTTGGTTGGGTTTTCCATTGCGCATCAACACAGTGGCAACAATTTTCAAGCTTTACTGGTGGAGGCACTCGGGGCCCCATTCCATGCTTATTTCTGGCACTATTTTGGCACACTGAGAAAAAAAAACTGCAGTTTATTTTTAAAGCGGGGATTATACTAAGCTTCCTCCCCTTTTGAAAGAAACCACTTTTTATGACCCAAAGTCGGGGTTTAAAAACCTCTTTGGAAAGTACAAGGGCCCTATTTTTGATTTGTTTTTAAATTTCTTTTTTCCCAAATGTTGCCACCACTTTTCAAACTTTATTAGGGGTCTTTTAAAGGGGGATATTTTTTAATTTTTTAATTTTTCTTTACATTTTTTTTTTTTAACATCTTTATACAAAAATATTATACCCTTTTGTTCCCCTTTTAGAAAATTTTTTTCAAAAAAAAATCCCAAAAATTTTTTTTTTCCTAACCCAAACTTATGTATGATAAATCTTTTTCAATTTGGGGGACTAAATTGCAGCTTAAAGCTTTATGAGCCAATTTTCTTACTTAATATTCAGTTACTCAACCATAAACAATGATTTATGCTTTTACAAATTTTATTAAATACTCCCGTAATCCACAGGGAGGAAATTAAATAGCATCTCTTACTCTTCAATAACCTTAGAGAGGGAACATACAGCCTGTTGAAAAATTAGGAATGAAAATTTATTAAGTGGAAAAACAGTTGGAATGCCAGTTCTTATTAAAAAAGATATAAGTTTGTAAATAGATGCCAAACGTTAGAAATTTAACGGCCTTTAATTTTCCTCTTGATGGCATTTTTGGCAACAATGTCGAGTTTTTTTATTTCACAATTTTGAACGAGAGTTTATAAATGTTTTACCGTTTATTGGAACATTCTTCCCTTGTCTGCATCATATTTAGAGAAATATAATTTAATCTATAGATTTTAGTCTAAATATTTTTTTGTATGTGCAGGTGTGTGGGGTGGAGGGGGTGGAGGAGGGAGGTTTAAGTCTACCCTACCCCTACATATTTCATTTTAGTAAGCATTGTTCTTCATAAGATTTTTTAAAGAAAAATCTTGGTGCATTGTTTCTTTTTTAAGGAAATACAATGAAGCATGTTGTTAAGGAAATATCTTAAGACAAATGTAAATCTTTTATCTAGATCTTCAACTATAAATTACTCTTCTTAACTCATACTTTTCTTTTAGAGGCAAGTGGACAACTAACAATTGCCTGCCTGTAGATTCAAATAATCTATTTTTTTCAACACATATATCAATCATATTTAAACCTGACTAAGATGGATTATTCATTATATTCCAGAGAAAAGTCACGATCATTTTCTTCCTTCAAACATACTCAAGTTCACTGCCAATTTTCATCATTGGTTATTTCAGGTACTCCTCTATATATACATTGTATTACCTTTACAAATGCTTTGAAGTTGTTTTTATTTTAAGAGTTTGAAGGTGATAAGTTAACAGTTACTGTAATGAAAGTTAAAATGACCTGGTTCTTTACTGATAACATTGGTCAGTGTCACTGTCTATGTTCACACTATTTTATTCATCATCCTGGTTTATTATAAGGCAATTGGACTTTTACAGCTGGGGTTTCTTTACCTGAAGACATGGATACCTGCCCATTTAAATCCTTTTTGTCTGTAAGCGGACAGTATTAAAGTTGAATAGTTATGTAATGGCAATGATTTGTTGTTTTTTTTTTAAATGCAGATTTCAACACATTTCAAGTAATTTCTCAGTAATTGGTCCGCTAACCAGACTTTTCTGTGCTGGCACTGTATAGTTCACTTATATTCAGTCAGTAAATATTTTGAAGTTTTCCCTATAAATAATGGATTGAAAAATGAACAAGTCCATTTGTGATAAAGGTTGACAATAGACAGTCCCATATACATAGCAAGGTAAGTCTATTAAAAAAAATTAGTATATAGGGATTGTCAATTTTACAACATTTAAAGACAGCTTTTCATGACTTCCAATGTGCAGTGTTACTGTACAATTTATTTCTTATTTTGTTTACAATAAATCTTTAGCATTAACATTTTTTTAAAGCAAAAAAGAATGAACGTAACCTTTTCTTTACTATGATTTAATTTTCTTAACATTTCCTTATGTAAAAGATACAATTATATACCTAACAAATATCAATCAACTGTTACCGTTACACAAATCAGACAGGTTTTTATAGCATTTCAAATATGTATTGGACTGGTAATAAATGGAAAATTGAGAGTGATAAATGAGTTTGTATACAAAGTTACACTGCAATGCAAACTTAATGAAAGACATTTTCACTGAAACATGCTGTACTTTCACTTCATGGTATGAGGATAATATTTGATACACTGTTGCTTTTAAGGAAGCATGCCTCCTTTTCGTGAAAATTTTGAAAATGTATTTAAAAGTAAAATAAATGTGAACTTAAAAGAAAGAGAAATTTACACAAAAACAGGCTCTCTCGAATCTCCCTATATTCTATATTTTATTGGTCAACGCACTTTCTGTGCCGGATTCAGACCAATCAAATACACCAGATCTAAGTCTGAGCTTGGAAAACTTCTTTATAATCGTAGAACCAGTTTTGCTATCTATAATTAGATAATAGGTACGATTTGCAAGAGACTGAACCTGTCAGCACATCCATAAAAGAATGTTTTACCATACTGAGACCGAAATTGCCTGACAGGTAAGAAATGGTTATAGTAGGAGTAGTATAGGTAAGAAGTCAAACTCCTCACAGTGATTACATCCCTTGGCAGATTGTACTCTGTACTGACAAGGGGAGATCACTGATTGATAAGAAGTAGTAATTTACCTGATGATATTGTTTGAGTAAGTGGTGCATCTGTTCCACCTCTTCTTGGACTAGAGTTTTAATGAAGTAACGTTTATCATGAGACATAAGCATCCGAGCCCCACTCCGCCCCGGCGAGTCTGTGCCCACTGGCTGCTTTGTTAATGAATTCTGAAAGTAGAAAACATGCATGTCTTACTATACAACAGTTACTTTGTATGAATATTGTATGACTTAAGTTAATACAAGAATCTAAGTATTCTTATGAAAGAACATACTTGTATTAATTGATAAACAAAAACTTTTTATACCATTCTGAATAATTTTTTAGTCAAACACTATCATAACAGCACATAATTTCAGTATCACTAATTTTAGGAATTAATATAGATAAATACTACCGTAAATACAAAATCTTATTTCACAAGAAAATAAATTTTAGCAAATTAATAAATTGGTAAATGCCAGTTATGTTTGAAAATACTTTACTAGGTTGCATGATAAATGGAAAAACACATGTAAATTATCACATAGTAATGATATTGCAGTTTTGAGAAATGATTTTTTCTTTTCAAATTTATTTAAAGGTTAATTTCATGAAGTGATTGAGGGTTTTGTGACAAATTGCAGAAACATTTATTTTAACTCATAAAATTTAAATGTTATTTTCTAGTATGCCTTAAATTCTTATGCAATCAACTACCACTGTTTTCATACTCATAGTTGAAAAGAAAAGTTGATAAAAATAAATGGGCAGAGCTAAACTTTTGGTGGTTATTTTAAATTGCCCTTCTGAAATCCCCAATCCCCATTTTGATAAGGAGTTTATAAAGAAGAATATCTTTGAACATCTTTCAAAATTAACCTCCGACACGGTAATGGTTACAAGAGGGCCATGATGTTTTAAAGCTCCAATTCTTTATTCTTCCTAAAAGAGTTACTTTGAAAAATGTCTCTTTTTATCAGGGAGAAAAAATCGTGTAAACGTTATTTGATGTCTGGACTACTGGTTTACTGTCTCTGAGAAAACATTCCACACGTAAATGGAACATTTATTACACACTAATTAAATGAACCTCTTGTTTTAAGGGTACTAAATAACTGACTTATTGATCCCTTGAATACAAATTGCTGTCAACAACTTCTGTCTACTGAGCTAACACAATTACCACATGACATTTTACAGAAATCAGCTAACACAATTACCACATGACATTTTACAGAAATCAGCTAACACAATTACCACATGACATTTTACAGAAATCAGAATTGAGAAACAAAGTTGAGGAAAACAATAGCATAGTAGGTGTCAAGCTAGTCTGTTAGGGGCAACAACTAAAATAAAATAAAATTTAAGGGTGTTATGGTGTTATAGCTGTTATGTATGTCTGTTTACATCATGATAAATAACTTTCTGATAGTGAAAATTCTAGATATTCAACAGGTATTTAAACAAAAAGTTTCATAACTTTTGAAGAAATCAAAGTTTTGTGTTGATACCATAGTTTTTAAATCATTCTTCTAAATTAGAAGTTTTGACAAAAAGTCTTAATTAAAATGGGGCATAATTCTAAAAATATAGCTTTTAGAATGATGTCCCTTGTTTTACAACTGTGTCTTGTCAAGTTAAGCAAGTATGCCAAGTTTCATGTTGATACTTTTTACAATGCCAGCATAAAACATTTAATTAGATTGGATGCTAGATAATATTTTGGTTTTAGAGAACAGATGTAATCCCAAAGGGAACTGATACACAAATGTAGCAAAGCATTGAAAGTAACAATTGCTGTCTGAGGAACAGGGCATTCCACTTTTCTTTAAAAGGGGACATAATTCAGAAAAACTGCTTATCAGTATTATCTTCCCTTGACAGTAAACAAGTGTGGATATTTAATAATGGTGATGTTTTTTGTGAAAATTACAAAAAATATACAAATATTAAAGGGAGATAATTAAGCAAAATCGACTTTCAAGGTTATCTGCCCTTAAAAAATGCGCTCCAAGTTTAATAGTGAACATTTAGTATTCTATTTAGTTTCATGTAAATATCTTAAAAAGTTTCAATTGAAAGTAATTAACCTTAACAAAACGCTAATCAGGGGGGAAACTCTAAATGTTAATCAAAGGTAAAAACTCTATGTCAAAAAGGGGCATAACTGCAAAATATAATTTTAGGATAATCTACCCTTGTGATACAACCAGGCATCATATCATTTGATTTCTATGTTGATAATTAAAAGTTTACAAAGTTTGTAGTCAATAGCTTTGGTAGTTCTTATGGTCCATAACTTATTACCTATTACAGCTCACAGTGACCTTCACCTTTGATGTTTCAAGTTTAAAATAAGTGTAGTAGGTAGAACTTATCAAGGTTCAATCCACATAATTATGAAGTTTCAATGTTTTACCTTTGTGATATTGAAGTTAATGACCATAAATGAAAACACCGTTTATATAATATTATGCAAACAACTGTTTCTGTAGGGAAGACACTATGTTCAAAGACTTTTATAACTAATATTTAATAGGACCTATCTAATTTATAGAATCTCCATGAATTGTAAAATGTATATCAGTTCAAAACTTCCTTAATTGATAGAATTAACGCTTCAATATCTGCAAACTTCTTATAATGTACAGTAAAAATACTGATACAACTTGCCAATAACCAAAGTAATAAGAGAAAATTCTGCAGCTAAAGGCTACAAACAGAATGTTTTCATGGTATACAGTATGTAATTTTACAGACAATTGTTTTGTCTTACGTAAGTCCCGCGGGGCCATGTCTGCTTTGCATCACCAGTCTATTCATCAATAGCAGCATGCATAATTAATGAAATCATTTTGTTTTTCCATCACATTCACATTGTTTTAACACCATTGTTACAAGATACCCTCCTGAATTAAACTGTGTTATGAACAATGCCCTGCTTTAAATCTAAAATATACATCAGTCCAATTAATTAAGTTTATAGGACCTTACAACTAATAATTGAGCAGTGAGCATATATAACAGACTGACTTATCTCTAAACTTAATATAAGTAATCAATTTCACTATTCAATGAGTTTTCTTTTAAATTTCTTTTTGCAACAGCCAATATTGGCCTTTTTATTAGTTAACAAAATAAGGAAAATTTAATTTTGTATTAAACATAGGACAAAAAAAATATTGTGAAATATTTACCAAAAAACTGAAAATTCATATTGTATAAACATAAAAGATTTTGGGGAATTTCATTTTAAATGGAAATTTTCAACATTTTGTTTAAACTTAGATAAAGACCAATATTGGCCTTTTCTCAAATCAATGTTATTGCTGTAGCACTTGAATGCAAATCGTATATTATAGGCCTTACAATGCAGCACAGCAGTCACATGTCGGTTTGCACGTTTCAAAATCAAATACAACCATATAGGCTAGGTCATTTGAATAAAGCATATATGCTTAAAAGGAGCATTTTATGTGAATTTCTTAAGCTATTAAATCCATGCAGAAAGTTAATTCAGAGGCAAAAATGGTTCCCCTGAGATTGTAATCAATTATTTCATTTTTGATGGCTTTAAAACAACCTTCACAGCCTTTTCAGTTATTAATATACATGTATGATGTAGAATAAAGTTATGAGTATAAAAGCTATGAGACTGATGATAACTATTAGGATAGAAACTACCATTACATGGATAACTATGAGAAAAGAATTAGGTATGTAAATTAGAGCTACGCGAGCTGGATGTGTTGCCTTGTGAACAGTATAGTTGTCACTTAGTCATTTTCTTCTTTAATATAGGTTATTTATAAACACCAGTCACTAAAGGGCAATAACTCAAAAAATAAGAAGTGCAGAGTACCTGTTCTTGTGCACTGCACTTCTTCTCAATGAGATCTATCATCCTTTGAAGTTTGAAGTCCATAGCTTTGACAATTTAGGAGAAATGGCCAAGACAAAATTAAAGTATAAAAATTAACAAAGGGCAATTATTCAAAAATTAAGTTCTAAGTGCAGAGTACCGCTTCTTGTGCACTGCAGTCTCGGGTTATTGAAAAAAGCATGCATACCAAGTTTGGAGTCAATCCAACTTATAGCGACTGAGTTATGCTCCGGACAAGCCTTAGGGGACGCCGACAACGACGCTGCCGACAAAAGTAACCCCTTATGTCGACTTTTCAATCATAAAGATTTATTTATCAATGCAGAGAGGCATGCAAGAAAAGAGATCCCTGAAATTTGTTTCCTTGAGATGAAGATTTTTTTCATAACTTTCTTTCATTATATTATACATCTAAACTGAAAAGAAACTTTGTACCATTCTTAAAAATACTTAAAAATGCTTACATATCAAGATGTATAAACAATGGATTATTCATAGAAACGTTTGTTAAGAGGGTGAAACAATGTAGGTTAAGCACCAATTTATTTTCATCACTTCCCATCTATTGTTATCATTTTAGTTTCATATTAATGTACAAAAATATTGAAGAAATAAAATCATGACATTTAAAATGTTTATTTCAACTACAGTTGCCTATTTCTAGTTTTAAAGAGGTAAGTGATTCCCCTTAAAATTACCAAGTTTAAACATCTTTTTTTTAGCTTGTAATAAATCTTTGAAGCATGAAGCAGCATTGAGTCCCCTTCCCCAGACAATTATGCCATGACAGTCCTGGTGTTCTAAGAATTACTATGGTTGTGGCCCCGGGTGCTCAATCCCATAATCCCTGACTTAAATGGCTAACACATTAAGAAATTGAGTTTGCTTCACTTCCTAAACATTACAATAAACATAACAAGGCATATTATGACAAAACATGGTCATATCCACTGTAGGACTTAAACCCTGGATCCTGAGATACTTCAACTGGCCATTTCATTCCCTTTACTTAACTGTCCCCTCCGCTGGCAGAATCGCCAAATTATCAATAAGGAAGTTGGATTATCTGATTTCCATTTTCCATTACAGAATTCAATTAGCCCACAGTGTAGCAATAATCCTCGCCTGATCTTCATTTCATACATAATGACCTGATTTGAACTTGAAGAAATCCGTAAGTAGCAAAAGGGATTTCAGTATACAAATACTGATCTGAAAACCAGTATAGTCTATGTTGGACTGCAGAGATTTGTGCAGGATACCTTTCTGGCAAAGGTCTGTTAAATTACAATACAGCTTATAGGATTTTGTTTTGAACCTACGTTGATGGGAAAAGTGATTAATTCAATACTGATCCCAACTTCTAAACCACTCTTTGGTCCCTGATTTGTACAGTTATTATGAAGCATTCAGTATATTCTTTGTTCCTCCCTTGCCTAAAGTATATATTTTTCTCCTTATTTTTTTTTTTTTAATCCACTTTTTTAATTTTTGTGGGGCCCCCACACACACAACTTTTTCATGATAATGAAATATGATTTTACTGTTTTATCTTATATTCTATTAAAATACAATAAAAAGCCTACAATATACATGCCAGAAAAAACCCCAACAAATTTGAAATCATTTGCATGCTTCAAACACAGACCAAAGACAAACAAACTTCAAAAGTAGAAAAAAAGCCCATTGGCATCTAAAGCATTTCATTCTAGGGAAAAACGCATAATTATCCTGAGACAGGTAAAATGCTAGTTAATGTGCTTAAAAAATAAATACAAGATAATATCAGATATGATTTGAAATAAACCACTTGGAGATATTATATCAATAGAGTTTTATGATACAGTAAGAAGGAAATAACCAAGTTCACAAAATGATACCGCAGTACATACATCAACATATACACACTTATAACTTCACTGCGTAAAATGATCTCTATGCACAAGTCAATTGTAAACTCAGAGCACCGCCCTGCCCCCCCCCCCCCCCCTCTCTCTCTCTCCCACTCCCAAGGAATAGCACACCTTTTAATTACAGTTGGGTTTTTGAGCATCTGGTATTAAAGGCTCTCTAAAAGGACCAGCATTTATAGTTTGACATATCCCTTAAGTACTCTAAGTCCTTCTCTCACAGATTTCCCTAGATATCCCCTACCCTTCCTCTAAAGAATGGTAGAATGGGGAAACTTAAGGTCACAACTGACTGGTGCATTACTGCTGTGCAGAGTACAGAAATTATAGCATTGTTTATAATAATTATGTAATTTATTGTAATGTATATTCATAAATGTCATACTAAATTTAATATGAACAATTATGTTACTTTAATTATCCATCATTATTAACATTTAAATTTTGTAAACCTTTTTACGCTTAATCTTAATTCACAATTATCAATATTTATTATTGTTTTGAAGTGTTTTAGTATAAGATAAATAATCTAAATGTCATCAAGTCAGTAAGAAAAGCATTAGACAGGAGTTACTTATAAACATTGACAAACATGTTTTCATTAGGAGTTACTTATAAACATTGACAAACATGTTTTCATTAGGAGTTACTTATAAACATTGACAAACATGTTTTCATTAGGAGTTACTTATAAACATTGACAAACATGTTTTCATTAGGAGTTACTTATAAACATTGACAAACATGTTTTCATTACCTAACATCTATCTCATGGAAGCAATTAAAATCCTGACAAAAAATTGTGTGTGAAGATGCATGCAAATCTTTAAAAATCTAAGTTATACCGGCCTTTCTGCATATGTAATACATCATGCTGCTTTCAAAGTAAGCAAGAGAGCTGAATTATTCTTGGAATAAGTTAAGCTTAAAGCAAAAACAACAACATAGTAAAATGTAAAGCTATACTTACCATATAATCTTGATCATCAATGCCAAATCTCTCACGTAAATTTCTGAACACAATAGGGCAGTACTCCTTCACCTTAAAATGACTTGGCATGTTTTCTCTGAAATTTATACAAACATGATATTTCAACAATCAAAGTATCATTCCCTTTCATCACTGCTTAATGTGTGTAAATCATCCCCTTTTATCCCCCCACCCCACTTCATGTGTGTAAAACATCCCCTTCCATCCCTGCTTTATGTTAGTAAATTATCTCCTCGTCCCTGCTTAATGTTAGTAAAACTTCCCTCCAATCCCTGTTTAATGTGTGTAAATCATCCCCTCCCATCCCTGCTTTATGTTAGTAAATTATCTCCCCATCCCTGCTTAATGTTAGTAAATTATCTTCCCATCCCTGCTTAATGTTAGTAAATTATCTCCCCATCCCTGCTTAATGTTAGTAAATTATCTTCCCATCCCTGCTTAATGTGTATAAATTATCTCCTTCCATCCCTGCTTAATGTGTATAAATTATCTCCTTCCATCCCTGCTTAATGTGTATAAATTATCTCCTTCCATCCCTGCTTAATATGTGGAAATGTGTCCCTCCTATCCCCGCTAAACATGTATAAATGATCATCTCCCAACCTTTTGTTTGTTTGTTTTGGGTTTTACGTGACATCATCACAGTACAGGTCTATCTCGACGTTCCAGCTTTACTGGTGGAGGAAGACATCAGGTGCCGTTCCGTGCATTATTTCAAGCAGTAACGGCCACCTGAGTAGAGGGGCAAATGGTTTGAAGTCAACAACCTTAATCATTCGGCCACGGACGCCCCTATCTCTCAACCTAGTGCTCAATGTGTGTAAATTATCCCCTCCCATCCATGCTTAAAATGTGTAATAATTACACATACAATTATTGATCCCCTCCCAACCCAGCAAGGTTATAAATTACCTCCAACCCTGCTTAACTAAAGTATCCTTGGATGTGCAAATTGACCAGTATAAAAAAACTTAAATAGATATACATGCAAACTGCAGGGCATACTTAAATACTGGTGGCTAGATTTACCTGTCTTTATCTTATGTTTTACTTTGTGTTTTTCAATTCATTAAATTGTTTTCATTTGATTTGTTCTTCAGAAGCTCCTTTAATGCTTTCCAAACAATCACAAAGGTATAGAAATATTTATAACTTCAATTTATAACAGCAGAGACACCTGCACAGAATGAATCACAATTTTTTAAATCATCTTAACATGTTATTTTATCATTAGTGTTCTTAGATAGCATTTCAATATTCTTTAAAATTAAATTATGAAATTTAATCACTATTTAATATCATCTTACATTACTACAGTACTTGCAAACGGTTATTTTGACAGAATATATAATCGTATTTTGTTGTACAGTTTAAATGTATATAAAATCTTTAGCTTTGTGGTTTACTGAAAGTGCTATCAGGTTTTATTACTATGGTAACCAAATTCAAATTCAGATATTGAAGATCGAAGACTCTTAAGGTTTTCTGTGGGAATATTCTGAAACACCTTGCCTGCTGTCGACAGTCTCATGTACATAATGACTGACAGCATAAAACAGTAATGAAGTGAACGCGTAATTACGTGACAATTTTCAATCAACGTAATTCTACCATTATCCTTAATGATTGTGACATATTCACATTAGCTTCTCGTAATTAACTAAGGAAAGTCATTATTGTATATACCTCAAGTCTGCCAGGACTGTCCACCTTAATTTAGAATGTTATTTGACCAGATATAACATTATATGACTAGATAGACATGTATATATCTTGATTTACTAATATCACTTGTCTGTGGCCAGTGTGTATTTCTGACAGTCTATAGACTGCTTTCTCAGTTTCTACATTAACATCAGTAGACTTGTTCCAAAAATTCAGTCAAAAAAATAAACCAGAACAAAATTTAGAGAAAATAACCAGAAATTTTAAGAGAAATCTAAATCAAATATGAGATAAAAATTCACAAAACAAAGCCTTCAACTGTTAATGTTTGTTACACAGGACCACTGGAAAGGTATCCTCTAAAAGGGCCAAGGAACATGATGTTGTAAACTGCAGACTTCCCGAAATACGTCGGTCCGACGGACATGTCCGATAAATTTTGATCAGGTCCGACAATTTTTTATTCCGGATCGGTCCGACTGTCCGGCTTTTATCCAAGCCGCATGTATTACAAAATGGCATCGCTAAAGGTGCCAAACCTTGGAAAAACCAAAAATCTACGTCAGAAGAGTGCACAGAAAAGCAATAAAAAATGATGAAAATATTAGACCTGAGACAAAATTTAATGAAAAATGAAAGCAGAACCATGAATCATTGGTGTATGACAGGGAGGAGATGAAAAATGCGCTGTACGGATTGTGCCGATTTTTACGGCGAAAAAAATGAAAAACAAAAAGTGTCTTAGAAATACAAACACAAGTTTTTTCTTTGATTTTGATCAATTTTATTTGGTCTGACAGATTTTGTTTCGGTCCGACAGATTTTCATGGTTTGTCAGACCGAATGTCTGACAGTTTTTTTCAACTTTCGGGAAGTCTGAAACTGACATCAGATCAAAAGCCTACACAAACATCTTAGGGGCATATTACTTTCAGTTTCTGTATAAATGGGTGTAGGGTTTGGTTGGGGGGAGGGGAGGAGGTCTATTATAGTAATATTTCAATGACACACTTGTGTGCCAATATCAAGTTTTGTATAAACCTTGGTCTAACACTGCTTCAGAATCAGAGGATGTTATGAAAATTGCCTTAGTCACAGGGAAAATTTAAATATTCAAAATGACTTCAGAAATTTTAACATTAAAAATCACGCTTTGATGACACAAAACCATCAGAACACTGGCCCCCGGGGAAATTTTTTATGGATGGGGAAACAATTTTAAAATTTTTTGAACCCAAGGGGATAACAGATGAAGTACCCGTTCAGGAATTTTTTTTGTGTTGGTATTTTTTAAAAAACCCAAAAAATTTTACATGTATTCGTTATTTTTGTATAATGGGCCAACATAGTCATAGAAACAAAATAATATTTTTTAAAGGGCATAAAAAACTGTTTATTGGGAAATTTTTGAAACAAAAAAAAAGGGCCCATGCATCATTACTTCATATAAATCAGACTATACAAACTTGTTATCACACAGCCCTAGTACATGTTTATACTATGTAATAATGTAATATGGTCAGTACTAAACCTTAGTCTTTAAAAGTGGCATCTGGCTGAAGGTGGTTTTTCTAAATAAATTTATTTGAAAGAAAGGCAGATCTTTTCATGTTTATATCTACCAAAAAAGTTGCTCCGTACTGTTGAAAATTTTCACGGGCTACCATTATGGCTACCATTATCATAACAAGCCCTTGGTTTTTTTTTATTACTCTTAACCCCCAGGGAAAAAAATAAAAGTTTCAGCTTTTAAATGGTTATAATTGGGGGAAATTGTAATAAGGGTTATTATCAACCAAAGCCGATCCCAAAAAAACAAAAAAAGGCCAAAAAGCAAATCTTTTTGGAAACAGAATTTAAGAAGGGTTAAATAATTAAACAATTGAAAATGTATTATTGACAATGGGCAAAGGATGCACACATCAAATCTGTGATCAATATAATATAATATATATACCAGTGTAAGTAATGAGTTCATGAAATCCATAAATAAACATTTCAGTGCCAAGAAATTAAGGTGATCTACCCATCTATCTATATAGTTTAAAGTAATAAAGTTGGCTTATAATATATACAAAATAAGGTCCCTTGTTTTTTGTGGTTTTTTTAGCAACCCATGCATTTTAAATAGTGTATTTCAGCCATTAAAACTATATAATATTATGTATATGTAATATTTATGTTTAAACAGTTTAGCTATTTAAATATAAGGAAATTTTAAGATTTTTAGGGAAAAAAAAGAAAGAAAAGATCCGAAATACCAGTGTTCATTACATCAGGTATGAGCCTATAATAAGCACAATGGTTATACGACTAACACTACCTGATGCTTATATATTCATGGATGATACACCTTGTTACTGTCATAAACATTGTCTCTCCTCTTATATAACATTCAATAAATATGCATAAAAACTCTGTAGTACTCTCATTACTTCACAAAGGAATGAGTAAAATGTCCGTTAATATCATCTTTTATATGGATCAATGCAACAGTGATGTAACTTAGTTCACTTGAAGAATAAGTTAAAACAAGATTGTGATGAACGTTTCCAACTAACAAAATGTTGTTTATATTCAGCATTATAAGTTTTCTTTTATACCAATGTTTTTTCATAGGTTAAAAAATATAAATATGAGCCGCGTCACGACAAAACCAACATAATGCGTTTGCGACCAGCATGGATCCAGACCAGCCTGCGCATCCGCGCAGTCTGATCAGGATCCATGCTGTTCACTTACCAACCCTATTACATGTAGCAAAACTGATAGCGAACAGCATGGATCCTGATCAGACTGCACGGATGCGCAGGCTGGTCTGGATTCATGCCGGTCGCAAACGCATTATGTTGGTTTTGTCATGACGCGGCTCATATGTGTTTAATTTTATAGTACTTTATTTTTGTATAGAAGCTTAGAGAATTCTCATTTAATAAAAATATATATAACAAGAGCTGTCAGTAGGACAGCGCAAACAACCTGGACTTTGGACCCAGGTTTGATTCCCAAATGTGATTTACATGTATCATGAAATCCTTTCTACAGTCATTTGCACAGCACCTGTTCTGTAGCATGTAAAACTATTTTTAATAATAAAGGACTATTTTGGTCAACTTTACCAAGGATGTTCTTTTAATGTTGGTAAATGGTCTGGTTAAATCGAGCAAAAATGCATACTCTGATGCCAAAATATTGGGATCTTTTTTTAGTTTACCCAATTGATATCATTTTTGTTGTTATGTTAATGTTTACATTATAGGTTGATTAAAACAATTTCTTGACTTTATTGATTATACACGGCAGATACAATATCTCAGGCTTATATATTTTTGGTTCTGAATTGGAAAGAAATGTATTTTAGATTGGGAAGGGTCTGTTTACTGGACCCAAAGAAGGAAAAAAATTGTTGCTAACTAATATTTGTTTAAGAGAGGTCAAAATGGACTTATTACAGTTTACACTGATTGGCTCAAGAAATATGAAATGGAATAAACTGTAAGATCTAAATGGAACCAGACATTTCATTGGCTCAAGAAAGGACACAATGGAACCAACAATTATTGGCTTCAGAAAGGTCAAAATAGAAAAAAGTTATAATTATTGGCTCAAGATTAAAGTTAAAATGGAACCAACAATTATCAATTGGCTTATAAATGGTTAAAATTTTAACTAATTCTTACTGGCTCAAGTTATGTCAAAATGAAATCAACTTTAATGACTTAAAAAAAAATGATATTATAGCTAAATCAAAATGAGGCTTACTTGTTAAAAAGATGATTATCTACCCTGACTTTTGTATATGCTTTAAAGTCATCTGGCATCAACATTACTGGTATTGTCACATGATTCAGCTCACTCACCTGAAATATAACAATCATTTCATGATAACATGCTGGAACCAAACATGATTACATGTACCCTTTGCCATTAGTACTACAGTATCAGGTCATCCAACACCATCTGTGAAGACTGGTCATGTAGGTTTCATACTACTGGTAACTCAATTTCTGTACTTTGATATTAAAATCCAGGATTGTTCCAAATGAAAAACAAAGCAAATCCATTACACAAAAAAGAACTGACCCTGGACAGAAAGCTCCACTATTGTCAGTGCCTGAAACTATGATATAAGAACTGACCCTGGACAGTAAGCTCCGCTATTGTCAGTGCCTGAAACTATGATATAAGAACTAACCCTGGACAGTAAGCTCCGCTATTTTCAGTGCCTGAAACTATGATATAAGAACTGACCCTGGACAGTAAGCTCCGCTATTGTCAGTGCCTGAAACTATGATACAAGACCTGACCCTGGACAGAAAGCTCCACTATTGTCAGTGCCTGAAACTATGATACAAGAACTGACCCTGGACAGGGAAAAGCTCCACTATTGTCAGTGCCTGAAAAACTATGATACAAGAACTGACCCTGGACAGAAAAGCTCCACTATTGTCAGTGCCTGAAACTATGATATAAGAACTGACCCTGGACAGAAAGCTCCGCTATTGTCAGTGCCTGAAACTATGATACAAGAAAACTGACCCTAGACAGAAAGCTCCACTATTGTTCAGTGCCTGAAACTATGATATAAGAACTGACCCTGGACAGGAAAGCTCCACTATTGTCAGTGCCTGAAAACTATATATAAGAACAGACCCAGGACAGAAAGTTCTTCTATTGTCAGTGCCAGACCTATGGTATAAGAACTGACCCAGGACAGAAAGCCTCCACTATTGTCAGTGCCTGAAAGTATGATATAAGAACTGACCTGGATAGAAAGCTCTTCTATTGTCAGTGCCTGAAACTATGATATAAGAACTGACCCTGGATAGAAAGCTCCACTATTGTCAGTGCCTGAAACTATGATATAACTTATAAGAACTGACCCTGGACAGAAAGCTACGCTATTGTCAGTGCCTGAAACTATGATATAAGAACTGACCCTGGACAGAAAGCTCCACTATTGTCAGTGCCTGAAACTATGATATAAGAACTGACCCTGGACAGAAAGCTCCACTATTGTCAGTGCCTGAAACTATGATATAAGAACTGACCCTGGACAGAAAGCTCTACTATTGTCAGTGCCTGAAACTATGATATAAGAACTGACCCTGGACAGAAAGCTACGCTATTGTCAGTGCCTGAAACTATGATATAAGAACTGACCCTTTACAGAAAGCTTCACTATTGTCAGTGCCTGAAACTTTGATATTAGAACTGACCCTGTACAGAAAGCTCTACTTTCGTCAGTGCCTGGAACTTTAATAATTGTGACTATTCAAATGTTTTGAATGATGTTTCTTCAGACATAAACGATAGTTATACAAAACTTTCTTAATACATTGTACTATTATGGCTAAAGCAAAATGTTTTTTAAAAAAATCAAAATGGCTTGAAAAAACCACTAGATAATAATATAACCTTGTGACTAACACAATTTTCTTACAAACATGCTGATTTAAAAATAGATTATCTTTAGATGACTCATCCCTTTGTTAGTAAATAATCATCAAAGTTCTTTGCTGGAGTTATCTAAATCATAAATAAAGAGATAATAAATGAACTTTTATAACTATTCTCCATTTATCATATGACCCCACATGTATAATGTTTGTTGTTTTTGTTCAATACAGTTTACTATGTTCTTTAAGTGAATATATATACTATAATAGACATGTACTAGCTTAACATTTTAATCATTTACTTGTCTCAATGTGAGGGGCACTAACATAGTTGAAAGAATACCATCCTAATTTGTTTGTTTAGTTTTTCTTTTTTTTTTTCATGTACTCTAGTGATCAAGAGTGTGATTGTCCTAAAAAGTCAATAGATATCAGGTAATATGTCCTAATTAAATAATAAAATTTAAAAAAAGCTTTGGACACTTTTATTGTGAAATAAGTTTGTAGCTTGCACAGTTCAATCTCTTTTCAAGATTCTCTGTTCATGATACAACAGCACAGAGACAACAAATAAGTCACTAAATTCTAGCATGTATAATAATAATGTAAACAATCAGACATGACGAACAGTTTATTGATAATGCAAATTATGATTAAAGAGATACAGTGTTTGAAATTAGCACTCGCCTTATTGCTCTGGTGAGTAAAATTCAACATCAGGCAGCCAACTATTCAGCGATTTTTTTTTTATTTTCACATTCTATTCAAACATTGAATGATTGTAATCAGAATAATATTGAATGATAGTTAAAATGGAAATATGTTTGTGTTGTTCATTGATCAATAAAAAATTGTCACAAATGATAAATATGTTGAAATTCTTCCAACGCAAAGATAATTTTTTACACTAGGTGATCAAATTCAATTATTTTAATGCTTATGTCAAGGGATGCTCTCACTGGCTAAAGATATTCTACATCCCCACATATGGGCACGTATCACTAGCCCTTTACACTGAATAATTTAGTTGTCTCATGGAAAACACATGCCTTGAATTCATATTTCATCATGTGTAAATAAAGTGCGTCAAAAATTGCAAGCAGAAACAATGATCTGGGTATGACAATCGTCTGGTTTTGGTGGTACCCAACCAGTAGAGAGTAGATCTTATTATCACTCTATTTAAATTGATTTGTAACAAATACTTAGAATGGTTGGACTGACTGATTTACCAATGCTTGGCACAAATATAATGATTTTAAGAGTAAGTTATCAAATAAAATATAACACTAAAAAAAAATTACTTTTACTTTACTGTAATGTCCTTTCATCTAAAATTTTACTTTTCATTAAACCTTCCTACATGGTCATGTAACTTCTCTGCAGCAGACAAAAGAGGGGTAACCCTAGGTCCAGTGGATAGAACAGCTGTGTTTTGGCACATGTATAGTGAATTTAGGTTATTAATTAACATTTGTTAAAGAAATGTTGATAAAATTTTATGTCTGTAGCTATGGTTCAATATTTACAAATTTTAAAAATACTTTTTATCTAATCCAACCTCCAAATAGAAGGACCATGTTGTACAAAGCATTGGTTTACTTAGAGATAGACACTATCCTCACACATTTTACTTGTTCTACTCATAGTGCAAACTCTGTCAAATGTCATGCTTGTTTTTAACCATTTCCAGGAATAAGTGCATAGATTACTCATGAACACCAGCATTTACTTTCATAAGATAAATCAAATAAAATAAACATTAACATCATTTGTAACAATTTAGTGCTGAGCACAGGTGTCAGCACTTTATCATTTGATTTCAATAAATAAATACGTCTCAAAAGCTGTCATGAATAAATTTGAAACTGTCCTGTACCACTCGTGACTGTTAAAATTTATTTTGAACTGACAATTATCAGATTTGATCTACCAGTGTCTATTTCTCTGTTTTGATGTTTTCATACAAAATTTCTGGGCCTACATGTGTATTGATGCAATGATCTTGTTTCAAGTTATACGATTATTTATAGATATTAAGAACAAATAACTTACCGTGTGGTTGATACCCCACATAAACACACTAAGCAAAGGCTCATTGGCACGGAATAGTTTCCTTTTCTGGTAAACTGCCTTCACTTTTAACACTTTCTGCTTAGGAACTGTTTGAACACTTGCCATTTTCCGTGGAATATTGCACGTTGATACTGAATCACTAAACAAATTGAAATGATTAAATGTTTTACAATAAATGCAATTGATTACGTTTCCCGATCAGCCTTCAGTCTTTTCATACTGAAGTCAAAAATCGATTTTTCTGTCTCAAAACAACACCCTTTCCTAAATGATGGCGATTCAATTACCCAGAATTCTTAATGCAGGGGAGACAATCGAGAGGCCCTGCATCACATTTACGTACTAAAAAAGTAGTACTATCGATATAACGAAACATAGGCCAAGTGTGTGTTTAATCTGGGTAAACATAATCACGTGAAATAAACATTGCTTTTGATCAAATTAAAAATACACAAGCGACAGCTTATCGCTTCAAAATAATTGAAAGATCCTGCTTGAAAAGAAAAAACACATCCACGTGCGTTACGTGACAGTGACTAAGATAGGTCTACAGTATTATATTCGTTTTTAGACATCACACTTCGAACCTGTTGTTTTCGTTGGTACTCTTATGGGATTATATGCTCTATGTGTGACACAGCCCATTTTGCCATAATAGATCCACATAATACGTATGCCTTGAGGAAGTCTATATATTATATGCTCATCCTGAGAAGATCTAAAATATATTTCAATCACAGTAACCTATGAAATTCTTACTATTGTATATGTATTAATTAATTTGAATAAAAGAATAAATAAACTATATAAGAGGAGCTGCGTCAAGTAAAGTTGATCTTTTCTTAAAAAAAAACTGCCAGTTTTTAAAGACAGGATATATATTCATAATGTGACTACCTAATACAGTGTGTAGAATTTCAAACATAACATCCACTTTGTCTGAAGTCGCAACATGTTTATTTTCTATTAAAGGTCCTTTAACTCGATTTTTTTATGGTTTTATATCATTAATATAACGCTTAAATGAAGATTTATCAATATTGTAAGTTCCAAAAAGCATTATTATTTGTAAAGATATTACCGAATTTCCATTTCATGTTAATTAAAAATTTATTTTCTATAAAGTCTATGTCAAGTTTTTCAATAAGAAATGAAACAGAATGCATATAATTTAGAGATTACATATAATGTGAACAAATATTTGCATTTTGCAGTACATATTTTACATATTCTTTGATGTTTGAAACTTGTTTTAGATGCATAATTATATACATATATAAAATTCCACTTAAGTTTGGTAACAACCTTAATTACAACATACAGGATCTTTAACAAAGAGACTGTGTAGCACTTATCTTTTTTTTTCTAATATCAAAATTGAGCATAATCTAGATGTTGATTTATTCAAATACGATCTTGGTCATCTTTTTTTTTTTACTAAAGAAATTTAAATTTAAAACGATTATACCTCTGAAGGACTGTTCGATTATGAGACATCAGCTTTCAATCAGCCATCCTCATGACCATAAGTGAAAAAACACAGATTTATATATATTTCAAATTGTAATTAAGATCTGTGTTTAAACAAAACAGACCAAATAAGGATGCCAGAAGAAAGCCCAAAATGGCAAAATTTAAAAATTAATGTTGCAGACTCGGTTTGATTAAGTCATCCAAAATTGATAAAAATGACAAGAATTGTCGATAGTGCAGTAAGGCCGACTGTACGAACGCAATGTAGATATTTTTAAACACCTTAGAATTAGGGACGGGTATACATTCGCAACGTCCTCGGCTATTATCTAGAATAACCTTATCCGAGGACTGACGGAAAGGGCCGAAAAGTTGCGATTGGGGTAGGTATTGCACAAGATGACTACACTTCTAAATTGATAGAATTATATATTTTAATTAAAAGATATTGCGATATCTGAAAACATTGCAATATAATATTGCAAGATAAAATATTGCGATATCCAATATATTGGACAACGCTACTTAAAATTGACTTAAAATATTCCACTGACTCACACGATGATTATTCTTTTGCTTTATATTTTTAGATAAGAGTGGCCATCAAAAGACAAAACTTGGTCATACGTACGGACTGTCACGTTTCAGTTAATTAACAATTTAAATTAATGTAAATGAACAATATTTAATTTACAAACTACGCTTTATTCCCCAGATTTACAAACAATTTCCAGTTAAAAAGTCTTTTATTGTCTGTCATTTTTTGCAACCCAAACCATTTATCGCCGCCAAAAGTATCCATACTACGACTTCACTTGTAGGTTTGTCCCACGAACACACTAATTTCAACTTCTTGTGGAAATATTTAAAATGAAAGTTCTCGTGGAAATATTAAGAATGTAGACTTTCTTTAAAAAACATTTTTGTAGATTTTTGGCGGGAATTTAAGACCATTCCATTTCCCCGGATTCCATGAAAGTACAGTTTTAATTATTAAATTTATGGCGTTAATAGTACATTGTGTATTTATTTTGTAACTATTTATTTCGTTTCTATTTTAATTTTTAAAGTTAGAGTTTACAAAGAAGGTATGAGGTAAAATGAATATTATACTACCACGGTGGAGGAACTGTTACACGGAGGATGGAGTTCTTAGTCCGGAGTAATCTTCTGTAATTGTCACGAAGTTTAACACATACATAGTTATATATACACTCATATATATCAAACTTGGCTGAAAATGACCTAGTCAAGGTAATAAGTAGTGGAGGACCCTCCACTACTGTAATGCTAGTAGATTCCTAGTTTTTCTTTGAATTTCACTTTTTAGTATTTAAAACGTTGTGTCCAAATCATTTGATGGTGAGTCAGTGTTACTGTATGAAATTGTTCACACACTGGGGAGAAAGTGATCGGAAGCTCAGTCAGTACAGCTGCATACAGGTATTCATGGGGTCCAAGGTTTCCATCCCAGCCATGCTGCACTTCACAGAGATTTTTTTTTATCAGAAACCGGAAATATTTCTCAAACTACACAGAATTTCAACTAAATTAAAAACAGTCTGGTTGTCTCAACTCTTCACATTATTTTTATTTTTAAGTAACTTTGTAGATATGTCCAGTATGTTAGATTTGTTGTAAAGTTATGTATAGTCTCTTATAACTCATCTATGAGTGGCATTTATGTACAATGTAGTAGGTTTTATATTTGTATTGTTTTAATATTGTACATGATGATGATACTTTAATAAACTATCTTAATAAACTTAATCTTAATAATAAACTCTGATGTAAGTCTAGACTTATTACTTGCATGCAAAATTTCAGATTATTTTCTCACTCCGTTCTTCCATAATGACCAAAGAATGAACCATTATGTACAGCGTTTTCAATTATTATATCGAGCTAAGGATAACAAAAACACCATTCCTCAATTTTCTTCGGAATATGTTTCTCTACTTATCTATTGCATTTCACCGGTTCCAAATGTCCAAGTTCATCTATGCCGGAAATTAAAATTGTATGTTTTAGACTATGTTTGACCTCGGTGGAGTTCCTTAAACACTGGAGTTCCTTTAACACGTATTGTTTATTTTGAACCAAACTAACTTTATTATGGGGCTGAATGAATTTGACATTTATAACTCTTTTTCATTGGTGGATTTTAGTTTATGGATTACGTAGGCAATAAACAACTTTCTAATGGTCACTTATATCATTGGCGGTAAACATTTTTGTCTTTTTCACCTCTACAATTTTAGTTCATTCTGTATTTGGTTGACAAGTAAATCACATGTTTAGATTCTAATTCACTTTCCATTGAAAATAGATGTAAAATTATTAAGGATATTTCTCATGTTTTTTATGTTGATGTAAATGTAGTCTTTGATAAACTGTTCTTTGTTTGTTTTCAGAACATGTAACTCATCCACCACATCGCAAGTGTTCAATAGTCTCAGACTTCATTGCCAAAAATGTGTCAAGGATTTGGGATACTCAAATTACAGCCTTTCCATGAGGTCAAGTTTCCGAATTTCACAAGGCCAAGTTGATCTTAGATCTGCTTACATCATATTACATGTTGGTACTAATGATGTAACTGGCCCTCGTTCAGAAGATGAGATTATCTCATCTTTTAACGATTTGATCTCCAATGTTGGTCAACAATCAAATAGCAGCATATTAATAAATTATATCTGCTATCATAGATTTTGATGCAACTGGTAATAGGGTTAGAAATTTAAACAATTAATTGGTTTTATTATGCAAATCTAGAAATGTTTCTTTCATTAGAACTTTCAAACCCTTTCTTAGGTGTGGCATGCCCCGTCGTGAGTATTATGCTGTTCAAGACGGTGGTTTACATCTTAATCTAGAAGGTACAAGGTGTTTGAAAGAATTTTTCATCTATACCATTGCACACAAAGTAATTTAGTGTTTGATGAGCGTTGCATGTTGGCTATAAGATTAAGTATTTGTAGTGCTTAATGGCTTGTAAACTGAAATCTGTATTTTGTGATTATTGAAATCTTTAGAATATACATGTACATTCATATGATCGTGTCATGTTCTTATGTCATTATATTTCTTTGCTTGAGGCATTTGGCTTCTCCAGAAGGACTTACTAATGGCTAGTATTGCAGATTACTCTCTGCTAGGGAGGATAGAAGAATGCCTCTTAGAAGATTTATTCTATTGTATATATATGTTCTAGAACTGTTTTACGGCCTTGAACTTGATGTTTATATATTAAAATATATGTATAAGTTGATATATGTACTTTAGGCCTTTGCTTCAGACACACTGTTTCTCAAGAAAGGCTCAGTCTCGCAAGCTGGTAATTACCTGTCTTGGAGATTATGCTACTAAGGATGTGATATGAAAGCCTCTTAGTAGATTTGTATGTATCTGAACTTGTTTTTGTTGATATTTTGTTTGTGTTTTTCATGGCCATGGGTTTGGCTTGATTATGAATATTACTACTGTAATGATTATTGTGGACAAAGCCATTTCGATTGAGTTTCTTGATGAAACAAGTTGTCTTATTTATATTTGATGAAAGAATTATTTATGTGAATGTTAAACATGCGATCTTCGTTTACCTAATTATATTACAATGTATATCAATATCTAAATTTCTCTTGTGTTTTCTTTTAAATGAAATATTGTCTAATTTTATTTTTTGTCCTATGTCATGGCAGTTCTGTTCAGAAAATAATACTAAAAAGATGGGAAAACTACAGGAAAGAGCACTTAGATTTGTCTATAATGATTTTAATTCAAGTTATGAAGATATGCTGATAAAAGTTAATATACCATCTCTAAAAATAAGAGGAATGAGGGCTATGGCCATTGAAACTTTTAAAAATTTTCATGATATGTCTCCTGCTGTTCTGTCCGACCTTATTTTCAAGAAAACATCTGGTATAAATTTTAAATATTCAAATATTTTGCAGATCCCGCAAGTAAGAACTACAACTACTGGTAAAAAATCTTTCAGGTATGCTGCACCTGCTTTATGGAATACTCTACCTGACAATTTTAGAAAATGTTCAAATTTTGTTCAGTTTAAAAAGTTAATTTCATCCTGGAATGGTAAACAGGGCAAATGTATAGCTTGCAATTTACTTCTATTTCTTTATTTACTTCACTTTTGTTTATTTTTCTGGGTATGAACATTTTTTTGGTCTCATTTATTATTTAGTTTCTTTTTTTTTGCTTTAAGTGTATTTTTTTGCTTTTCTTCCCTGCATGATTCCTGCTTATGCTAATATTATCATTTAGTTTCTAGATAGGATGTTTCTTTATTTGTGATCTTTTGATTTTTTTTTTTTTTTTTTTGCTTTTCTTTCCAGCATGACTCAATCTAGCTGTTAAATGAGTTCAACTGTTGACTTACATGTATGATCCCTTCTGTCTTTGTGTATTTGTCTGATAACCCATAGTCTTTCATATTTAAATTATATGTATAAAAAACTGTACGTTTTTTAGTATTTTTATTTATTTATTTAACTATTCATTAAATTTTTAATTGTTTAATCGGTTTATTATTGAACTTTAAATATTTTTTTTTAGATACTAGACATTGTAAGCATAGTTTAATATACAAGCTAGTGATGTAGAATTGGGTAAAACTATTTTAGTTTTTTAGCATCTGATTCATTTTTATAAAAATATCTAAAAAAGGACTATTTTTATGTATACATCTTGTCTAATAAAATTTTATTGTAGCTGTTTTATTTTTGTTGATCTTATACGGGGAAGTCAAAGACCGGGCCCGCGAAGCGGGCCCGGGCTTTGGCTTGCCCGGCTATAGACTACACGTGTATATTTAAAAGAAAATCAAATAAAAAACAATTAAAAAATATATAGAATTCTATACCTATCAATGAAATTTTCAGTGTCAGTTCTAGTCGGGCGCCGCCATTTACAATGTAACTCAATGATAATAGGCGGGGTATTCCGATAACGGAACATATCTCAACTTTTCGGATAAATGATAATCGTCGAGTGTTCCGAGTGAAAACGGAAGCGGTGCATGTAATACCGAATGACACCTTTAAAACGGAAAGAATGAAAGGAATTTTTAACGACTTCCCCGTTCATAGGCATTGCCTAATTTCATATTACTTTATGTTATATATACAGTCGGTTATAAAAGCTCATATATATAGAGAAGCTGGAACCGAATAACTCGGTCCCAGATAGAAGCTAAACGCAAAAGAAGCTTCATGCATGGAAAAACTTTAAAACAAAATTTTGTGTACATAAGTTAAATTAATTATTATTATCATAAAAAAGTGTACGAGAAAGTCCTTTGTGTTACACAATTATACGCCAAATCAGTGGAAGGGCCTCGTCTTTTCTTATTTGTTATAAGCGACCCTTATTGTTATTTACTTTATTGTTTGCTTGATATAAGCGACAATTTATCAAAAATCGGTGAATTACAAATTTGTTGTCAAATCCTGTTTTTGTCAGTTAATAAGTTGAATGTTACAAGTGTCAAATCTATAACTGATAATGTTAAACAGTGATTTTTATGCAATTGTTGGTCTTAGCACCGATGTCCTCTAATTGTCTTTAGTTTTCGCGACCACAAAAATTTGCTTTTTACTTATATTTTTGAATATCTGCCGCTTAAGTTCTACAACTTTTTACCATTTGCTTGAATTTTTTAATTTGTGTCTTTGATGCCACAATATGAATGATATTACAACCTTTGTTTTAGAAATCTTAGAAACAGATGACAGAATCTAAAATTCTTTCACCAAGTGAAACGAAAATGAAACGTCAGCGTATTTTATGCCTCTTTGGTATTCCGTGTGTATTCTTCATAACTTTGATTGTGTTAAGTTTTCATTTGAGAAATGGAGTGGATGTTACAAGTATTAAGAAACAGAGGTTGATTGCTGCTCATTCTCACAAGTTTGAATCTAGAATTGAAAAGTATTCTAAATCTGACAAATTACTGTCTGAGCATCCACAGGACCTTATTTATAACCCAGAACATTTGGCTATGTTGGGACAAATTAATGGTAAAGAAGACGAAGAATTTAAACAGAATGGTAAATTTTGAATTTAACAGGGCTGCCGATATTCCGCAGATTCGCAAAAATCCGCGGATTTCGTGAGCTCCTGGGTCACAGTTGTTGTTCAATGCTAATTTATCAAAAAGGATATGTTATAGTTACTTTTTATATTTATAATCGTTACTATAGTTCTTATCAATGAAAAGCATGTTTATTTTCTGATTTATTACATCATTCTTTCACCGCAAGTGTTTCATTTGAATTGATACGCGTCATATATGTTATCTAAGAGCGCTACAGCCCTCGCGGGGCCTATGGCCATGCTCCGGCTTTCCGCGTATTATTATTTCAATTCAATCATATGGATACAATGTAAATTTATCAATGCATTTCTTTATAAGCTGTAAAATACATTGGGAAACTGCTAAGGTAGTGTACACTTTAGTCATGGTATAATGCTTCAGCTTAATTATTTTTGAATTTGAATTGTTTTTTGAAGAAAACGCATGCATTTACTTTATAATTGTAGATCACTGACCAAGATCCATTATTCTATCTTGCATTTAGGCTGATTTTCCTTTGAACTTTTTCAACTTAGAAATTCATGGTAAAATTTTGCTTGTAAGCTGTTATCTCCATAACTACTGAAGGGTTTGTGCCTTTTTGGGACATTATTATGCATCTATAATAATAAAGCAGTGATTTACTTACTAAAACATCTTTAATAATAACAAGCCTTTGTACCTTTTTGGTCAATTTTATGTATTCATAGGTAATTAGCATTATTATACTCAATAAAACAGCCTTGTGACAACTTTCTCGAATAGTAGAGCCAATACTGTCCTCCGACAGTTCTTGTTATGTTTTGTACAGGCTGTAATTTCAACTAACTTATTTTGAATGAAACATCTTTTAAAAGTATGATACACTTATTGATTAATCAAGTGTCAACTGGACACCAACATATGCTTATGTAGATATTTAAAGTTGCTTTTCCTGGTCAGACTATGTCCCAGAAAACCTGAAATAACCAGAATTTGGCTCTTATTATGGATCTAACACTAGACTTCTTTCTGGTTACATAAAATGTATGTCGCTGACCGGTTAACACAACAACATTTTTAAAGTGGCTTATACTTGTTATCTCCACGGCCATGAATTATGATTATTTTTGATTATTATGCAGTCCTTTTTCTCCTGTTTTTAGGAATATGGTGGCAGGGTCCATTTAGAGGGTAAAATTGTGTTATGGAGAAGAATATATGTAGAAAAATTATAAATGTAATTAACCGTCCATCCTATGTTAAATTGTGATGCATTTCAATTATTTCAATTGGAAATGTCAGTCGGTTCCTCTAATTCTCTCTTTTGATTAAATGGATTTTTAGCTCGATTATTCTGCGAATAGTCGGGCTAAAAATCCATTTAATCAAAAGAGAGAATGCAGTCACCCATTTGTCGGCGTCCCTGTGGTTAAGTTTTTGCGTGTAAGCAAGTATCTCCAAAACTACTGAAGGGAATGAACTTAAACTTCACACACTTGTTCTCTGTGATTCTCTTACATGATTTGCACAAGTCCATCCAATAACTCTGTTTTTTTTTTTTTCATAATTATGTCCTTTTTTGGCTTAGAAATTCTTGGTAAAGGTTTTGCTTGTAAGCTGGTATCTTAATAACTACTGAAGGGTTTGTGCATTTTTTGGGACAATTTTATGCATTCATAATAATAAAGCGGTGATTAACTCGATAAAACATCTTAATAACAAGCCTTTGTACCTTTTCGGACAATTTTATGTATTCATTTAGGTAAGCATTATTACACTCATTGAAACACACTTGTGACAACTTTCGAATAGTCCAGCGTTACTGTCCTCCAACAGTTCTTGTTAAAATATATAGTTCTTTTTGACTGATGAACCGGAATTTGTTTAAGAAAGAATAAGGGAAAAAACTTATGTTTTCTGGAGACAAATAGGGACTGGTTCTTGACTTAACTTGAAATGATTTTTTTTTCCTTACTAATTATTTGCTTGAAATGGAAAATTTGTCATATAAATTAACAATTCAGAATTGTGATACTGAATTGAAAGCAAATTAATATCCTAGTGTCATTGAATAATTATTTTCTTTATTATGTAGAATATATGAATGAGATTTTTTTTTTATCATTTTTCAGGTCAAGGACTGTATGCTTTCAATGATTTAATAAGCAGTCGGCTCAGTTTAAACAGAGCTGTACCAGATACACGACATAAACTGTAAGTCATGTTAATACATAAAGTAACATTACATGTTACATTCAGAGATTTATATAACACTTGAACCTGTTTCTGATTTTAATAGTAAAATTAGTAATTGAACCCTTTGTCTCTCAGTCCATAAAATATTAATCTAAAGAGGCAAGTTTGATGTATCGTAAGTTATAAAATTATCAGAATAATAAGCTGCATGCCTCCAGATGAGTCAAAAATATTTCAAGAAAAGAATACTTGAGAAAAATGTACCAATATTTTAAGAAAAGTAAAGGTTTAAGATTCAAATATTAGTAATAATTTACATGTTATAAGGGCTAAGGACTGATTTTATATATGATTGTAAATGTGACTTATCAGTATTTCTACAACATGATGTGACATTTCTCTCATTAAAGTATTATAACCAATCTATGGTTATATGCATTATTCTGTGCTAAATCATAGATGGTAAGAAAAATTCACAAGTAGATTTTTTTAGGTACAGTACATTATAGACAATTATATACATGGTGATATTAATTTGATGACATCACAATGATGACTCTAGTTAGAGCTTGTAGGCGATGAAATATAAGTTCATATTTTGTTAAATTATTATTTCATAAAAATATTTGTTGGTTGTAATAGATTGTAGTCTTATTACACATTATGTTGAACATGAACAAAGTGTTGTAAAGGCGAACAGTGCAGACCATTCTCAGACGGCGCTGATGTACCGGATGATCTTTGTCTGCACTGGAAGGATTTGATTGAAGACAACTGTTTTTATAAACTCTTTTTTTTTCATTTTAAGTTGTCAGACAGTGAAGTACCAACCTGATCTTCCGAGAGCCAGTGTAATAATATGTTTCTACAACGAAGCCTGGTCTACACTTCTACGTACGGTACACTCAGTTTTAAACAGAACACCGGCACATCTGTTACATGAGATTATCCTCGTTGATGACGCTAGCGAACTGCGTAAGTACGGGCATAGCTTCCATGGCATTTTGTTTATTTATCATTTGTGTTATTTTTTGCAAAAGAGGTATATTAAAACTGATGAAAAATCAGTATCTGAGAGGAGCTGCAGGATATGAAATTATTTATTTTAAAGGTAGCAATCTTTAAATAATATTGTCACTGAAATGTAAATAGATTCTCGTTCTGTTGAGAGTCGGTGCCCTCTGTGTGTTGTTGGTGACAAAATGATTACAAGTGAAAATGAACAGCTCTTTACAAATGGGATAGGACATCTTTTTATATCTGACGATTCTAACAAAACTAAGAAATCATAGAAATTAGGGAGAGATTTATGTTCAGTTAAATTGTGTTGAAATGTGCATCAATGCAAATATGCTTAAATTATTTGATAAATTCAGGAGTTCATATTCAGCTGGCATTGCTCAATGGTGAGAGTGTCAAGATTAATTATCCAGGGTCGCTGATTCAATACTCGACTGAGGCGTGATTTTTCTGTGACAATTTATCTCTTACATCAAGTCTGATAGTCATTGGTCTCTCACAGCTGGAGATCATGTGCGATTAGTAGTCTTGTCATTTCCGGAGAAATTGTTAATTATTGGTTAGTTATCCAGGAAAGTTGGTAATGTGGTTTCATCACCAAGATATGAACAAAAATATTTAAAATCAGTGTAAAAACTAAAAAAAACTAACAAACAATATTGGGAATAATATAAATTATGTACTGATTATTTGTTCTTTTTCACAATGAAATAAAAATTGACTAATACAATGTTTAGCTCATCTACAAAGCAAGCTAGCAGAGTATGTGTGGTCATTACATCCAAATATAACCTTGGTAAGGTTACCTGACAGACATGGTCTTATACGTGCCAGGCTTTATGGTGCTCATGTGGCAACAGGGGAGGTAATTATCATATTGTTATATTAAAGTGGTATTAGGCTTATCCACGTCACAATCAAAATAAGTTTAAATTTTGTCATAATTCCTCACAATTCTAAAATCTATTTCGTATATATGATTAATAACTTACGTAACCCGAGGAAATTTCAACTATTGGTCATTCAACATTATTATATCACTCAGTCTTTTGAAAAATATAGTTAAGTTAGCTCAACTTGACAATGAAAAAATAAGTACATGTATAATGACACTTTAAAATATTTGTTATATGAGAGAAATTATTATGTTTCAATTGTTAATATAATATGTGTGATATTAGATAGACTTGAAAGTTTCAAATTGTTGATCGTTGATTTTTTTTCAACAGAGGACATAACTGATTTAGATATAAGGAGAAGACTGTATTATAAAGTTTAATAAAACAATGGTAAAATAAATCATCAGAAACTTGTGTAACTTCTTTAAATCCTCATAAGAAACATCTACTGGCAAATCATTTTTCTAAGTATTTTAAAAAGTCGGTATTAATTTTGTTTTCTATCGAACCTTAGACTGCTGGTAGAGACAGAATTTTCCCATGTAACAAGTGCACACCAAAATTTGCTGCATATTTATACTGTTTGATCATTGTCTGCATTGTTTGCTATTTAGTCAGTACATATTGTGAATTTTACCTGTACACCCACCGTTTATTAAATTATACTCGGATCAGCATAATTCCACGTTATGCAGCCAACAACAGTATCTGCCTGTTCATACTGCATAGGTGTGCAATACATCCTCATATGTTGACTTGGCTCTATACTGCTAGTTAAGTCAAGTAATTATTACCTCTAGCATAATTAGTGTTAATATATTTTACATATTTTACTTTTAGGTTTTGGTATTCCTTGACAGTCATTGCGAGGTAAATAAACAGTGGTTAGAGCCGTTACTGGCCAAGGTCGCTGAGAGTCGTAGAACGATAGCTATACCTGTTATTGACATGATTAACTCGGGCACGTTTGAGTACAAGGCATCTTCTCTAGTGAAAGGAGGCTTCAACTGGGGCATGCATTACACCTGGGAGCATTTACCGAAAGATTACTTCAAAGGTACAAATTCAAATGTTATCAATGCTTCAAAGATGTCACCCTTTTGCTTTAAAAAAATTGTAGGATAAGAAAATACCTTGTTTAATTTTTGTATGCCATTATTTCTATAACCCTGCTTTGACAGTCACCAGTTTTCTGGAACAAGCCCAACATTTTGGAGGTTATGTCATGTATGAATATAGTTTTGAAGGCAACACCAGACAGGTTGTTTTGAAAATTGGAAAAATATCACTGATCAGAGGTCACTATACAAGGCCCATTACTCCGACATAGATTTAAATTTTGACTGAATTATGGCCCATTTTGAACTTTGAAAATTCTTGTTTAACCAGTATTGGGCGTTATTAATCTTCAAAATAACTAAAAGTCTTCTGTAAAAACTAAATATGTGCATGTTGGATCAATTGTAGGTTGCTATCCAAGGTCAATAACTCGCACATGGTTTTTGTGTCGCCTCTACGGAGTATAATATATAATTTTTATTTTTAAACTTTGTCCGGACAACTTCTTTTATACCACTTATGCAATTTCAATGAAACTTTACAGGATTGATTTGTAGCTGAAGTCCTTGCACATATTGCACAGGTTTTCCGGTTGAATGATTTTTGGCCGAGTTATGGCCCTTTGATAAAAAGGTGTTTTTTTTCTGTGTGTTGCCAGGTACACAAAAGCTTGTCCGGACTACTCCTCATAAACTACTGGTGCAATTTCATCCAAACTTTACAGGAATGATCAGCACCAAGTCTAGTTGTGCATATTGTCAGCATTTTCCGGTTCAATGATTTTTGTCAGAGTTATGGCCCTTTAATAATTTTTAGTCCCCTACCGGTTTAACCGGAGGGGACTTTAGGTTTACCCTCCGTCCGTCTGTCTGTCTGTCCGTCTGTCCGTCTGTCTGTCTGTCTGTCAGTCTGTCAGTCCGTCCGTCCACAAAACTGGATCCCGCGATAACGCAAAAAGTACTGAAAATATTTTTATGAAACTTGATATATGGATAGATGGCAGTATGGAGATTATGCACGTCTTTTTTTTATGCCACCGCAGCATCTGCGATGCGGTGGCATATAGCGATTCACCTGTGTGTGTGTGCGTGTGTTTGTGTGTGTGTTTGTGTGTGTGTTATATAGATTATATAGTGAACTTAAAAAATCTTCTTGTGAAAAACCACTTGTCCAATTTCAACCAAACTTGGCAGGATTGTTCCTTGGGTGAAGGGCTTCCAAAGTTGTTCAAAGAATTTCATTCCATGCAGAAATCTGGTTGCCATGGCAACCAAAAGGAATTATAAGAATAAATTAAAAAAATCTTCTTGTAAAGACCCAAAAGGGCTAGAGCTTAGATATTTTGCATAAGGCATTGTCTGGTAGACCTCTAACAAGATTGTTCAAATTATAGCCCTGGGGTAAAAATTGGCCCCGCCCCGGGGGTCATTGATTTTCACTATGTACATATAGTAAAAACTTAAAATACCTTCTTGTAAAAACCCAAAAGGCCTAGAGCTAAGATATTTTGCATAAGGCATCGTCTGGAAGACCCTTACCAAGATTGTTCAAATTTTAGCCCTTGGGTCAAAATCGGCCCCGCCCTGGGGTCATTGATTTTCACCATATGTACATATAGTAAAAACTTAAAACAGCTTCTTGTAAAGACCCAAAAGGCCTAGAGCTAAGATATTTTGCATAAGGCATTGTCTGGTAGATCTCTACCCAGATTGTTCAAATTATAGCCCTGGGGTAAAAATCGGCCCCGCCCCAGGGGTTTTTGGTTTTCCTTATATGTTTTTGTAAAAATTTATAGTAAAAACTTCAAAAAAAATTCTTCTAGCAATTGACAAATGCTAGAGGTTAGATATTTTGCATGAAACATTGTGTAGTAAACCTCTAGCAAGATTGTTCAAATTATAGCCCTGGGGTCAAAATTGCTCCCGCCCTGGGGGTCATTGATTTCAATATATACATAATTATAGTAAAAAATCAAAAAAATCTTATTGTCTGAAGGTACAAGGCTTAGAGCTTTAATATTTGTTAAATAATATCATCTAAAGGTACTCTACAAAAGTTATTCAAATTATGCCTCTTGTGTCAAAATTAGCCCCGCTCCCGGGGGCCATAGGTTTTCCTTATATGTATATAGTAAAAACTTAAAAAATCATCTTCTCTAAATTTACAAAGGCTAGAGTTAAGATATTTTGCATGAAAAATTGTGTAGTGAACCTCTTGCAAGATTGTTCAAATTATAGCTCTGGGGTCAAATTGGTTCCGCCCCGGGGGTCATTGATGTTCATTATGTACATATAGTGAAAAAATAAAAAAAATATTTTTGTCTGAAGGTACAAGGCATAGAGCTTTGATGTTTATTATATAATATCATTTATAGGTCCTCTACCAAAGTTGTTCAAATTTTTCCCTGGTGTTAAAATTGGCCCTGCCCTGGGGCAGTGATTCTCATTATGTACACATAGTAAAAACAAAAAATAAAACAAATGTTTTGTGAATGGGAGAAAGCTATAGCTTAGATATTTGACTTGAAATGTTGTTTGGTGGACCTGTATCAAGATTGTTTGAATTAAACCCTTGGGTCAAAATTATGCCTTGCCCAAGGGGACAGTGACCTACTTTCTTTTCCTTTGATGTACAGCAATGACATTTTGACCATGTGCACAGTTTTAGTTGTAAAATTGAACTTTGATATCAGGTGACCTAGATTTTGATGATGTGACCTACTTTCTTGTCCTTTGATGTACAGCTATAAAATTACGACCATGCGGTGGCATAGCATTTTTCTCAAATGCAATCTTGTTTTCTTCCTATGTTGAAAATTCTGGTTGCTATGGCAACAAATAGTCTGAAAATATGGCAAATTTAACACATAAACTGGATCCAGTGATAACTCAAAAAGTACTGAAAATATTTTTATGAAACTTGAAATATGGGTAGATGGCAGTCTGGAGATTATGCACATCTTTTTCTTTTCTTCCTATGTTGAAAATTCTGGTTGCTATGGCAACAAATAGCCTGAATTTCAAGATTTCTGATTTAAATTTTTCAGCTTTTTCACTATATGTTCTTTATTTCTTAAGGTGTTTACTTCAAACTTTAAATATAAGTTCCTGGTCATCAACCACATCATATGTGACAAGGTTTATAACTCTAGCACAAAAAATATCAATATTACCTCCTTGAACTTAGATTTTTTAGGGGAAAAAATGTTGTCTTTTTTAAATAACTTCTTTATTTCCTAATGTATCTACTTCAAACTTCATATATATGTTTCTTATTATCACTCGACATTTTTGAGAAGGTTAAATACTCTAGCAAGACTATTTCCAGAATTATGTCCCCTTGAACTTAGATTTTTTTCGAGAAACTGGTATTTTCACTCCAACTTCTTCATTCCTTATAGGATTTACTTTAAAATCCCACATCGTAATAATATGACAAGGTTGTATAAACATAATTTCCTTACTAAGCATGGAAACTTAACACGTTACTGTGATATAGACAAACTTATTTTATTATGTTTTGTGGTCGATATTTTCAAATACAGACTTCATCCTCAAATTCATTATAAATGGCAATACACAGGAGTGTATGACAATTAAAGAACTTTTTGAGGGACCGGTAGGGGACTACTGTATTGCCCGCAATACTATCAAATGCTTGTTTATTTTTAAACTTTGTCCGGACTACTTCTTTTATACCACTTATGCAATTTCAATGAAACTTTACAGGATTGATCTGTAGCTCAAGTCCTTGCGAATATGGCACAGGTTTTCCGGTTGAATGATTTTTGGCCGAGTTATGGCCCTTTGATAAAAAGGTGTTTTTTTCTGTGTGTTGCCAGATACACAAAAGCTTGTTCAGACTACTCCTCATAAACTACTGGTGCAATTTTATCCAAACTTTACAGGAATGATCAGTACCAAGTCTAGTTGTGCACTGTCCATCTGTCTTTACGTCTGTCACAAAACTTGTCCCAACATGAAATTGGCCATCATGAGGCGACACATGTGATCACTGATCGCTCTTGTGATTGATTTAGTTACACTACACACATATATAACATCATGCGATACATTATTTATTTTATAGATGAGGAGACCTATATACAGCCTATAGAAACGCCCACAATGGCAGGGGGATTATTTGCTGTGAACAGACAATACTTCAGAGAGAAAGGGGAGTATGACCCTGGATTGGATACATGGGGAGGAGAAAATCTAGAAATTTCATTTAGAGTAAGGCTGATTTATTGTTTTTAAACCTTTTACATGCTGATTTGTGTAATTGATTTGGCTGCTTCGGGGATATTAACGGCATATTACAAGAATTGAGCTGCCAACAGTATAGAGCCTGGTCAGACTGTATGGATGTTCTGACTGGCATGTCTCTATACTAGTGGCAAAGGCTAGTTACGTTATGTTCCAACAGGTCAAGGGTTATAGCCTTGTCCTTCTAGGTGTGTGATGCCTTTGTCTTATCGAAGTTTAAAAGGTTTATACTTATAATTTTGTATAAAAATTAAAGCTGCATGCCTCCAGAGGAGCCAAAATATTTCAAGAAAATCAATCTCTGTAAAAACGCACATATATTGTAAGAGAGGTAAATTGATTCAAGATTCAAGTAATAATTTATATCTTATGTGCGATTAATGACTTCATTTTGTGGTATTTTTCACCATATTTCTACTGCGTTACTAACGCAGTAAGGTGCTTTTTTGCATATTTCGACCCATTTGGTAATGTACGTGGATTGTTAGTGCTGTTTGCAATATGTAGATTACTTTCTTTGTTCACTTTGCAATATTTTACTTTTAAATACATTTTCAAAATTTTCATGAAAATTAGGATAAATCTGGACCATGCTGCTTTAATTTGTCTCATTGAAATGTCAGTTTTCAGACATCATTATAATAGTGTGGGTTGCTTTTATTAGTAATAAAATATTTTCTAAATTTTTGAAAGCTAACAGCACTTATGACAAGGTCTATCACATGTTTGTAGTACAGCCTGCATGTTTTCTGAGGTCTTACGAGACTTTTACTGTTTATATCTTAAAGTATCAAAATCTGAAATGTGTATTATGGACAGAAGGGCATATCCATTACAGAAATGAAGCAGGAAAAAGCTAAATCAGCTTTGATGTATTGAAGCTACTATCCAACACTGGGTTGTTTGAACTTTCTGTGTTAAAAAAAAAAAAAAAAGAATGTCATTAAAGAATAAAATTACACCAGCAGTTTATACATTTACTCGGGACAAGATAAAGAAATATGTTTCTTGTTCCAAGAAATGCCAGATTATTTAAGATTTGGCACCTGTATCTTGCTATGATATTAAACTGTTATAACAGTTCATTTTATGTACAGGTTAATAGCTTTAAAACTATGGAAGATATACCTAGTATATATTTAAAAAAAAAAAATAATAAAAAAATTCATGCATGTATTACAGATTTGGCAGTGTGGGGGAAGACTAGAGATCATACCTTGTTCTCGTGTTGGTCATATTTTCCGACAAAGACGTCCATATGGTTCACCTGATGGTGGGGACAGCATGTTGAAAAACTCTGTTCGGGTAGCGCGTGTATGGATGGATGAATATATAGTAAGTTAAGCTTGATACTATAATATTGTGCAAGGTATGATCAAAGTTTTATGTAAGTTGAACACTTTACCTGCTGGAGCCAGAATTGATTAGCCTTTGCCACCAGTATAGGACCAAGCTAACCTGCACATTTGTGAAGCCTTACCAGGCTCTATACTGCTGGTTACTCAATTTTTGTATTTTAATATTGAAATCCTTTAAATTTTGAATTGACTGTTTCAGTATAAAGCAGGACAAATCCATTACGCAATATCACCAGGTTAAGTGTTAATTAAGAAATAATATATCCCAAACTGTGATTTTATTGCTCAACGGATGCGAGGAATTATATCACGAGGGCGTAGCCCGAGTGATATAATAATGAGCATCCAAACAACAAACAGTGATGTTATCAAGCAATAAAATCACCGATTTGGATATATTATTTCGATTCTAACACGACATCAACAAAAAATGCTGCCATACATTATAACTAGCTTAATTGCGCCTGATTTGTTTCCGTACTTATTGTCAGCGTGTCACATTTTTAGTGGTTACGTCACGTGTATAATGATTACGGCACATGTCTAAATATAGAACGTCAAACAGTGATTTTATAGCATAATAACACACACTTTCGGTTCTTCTATGTTCAGTAGGGAAAAATGCGGGTCGTGTTAGAATTTATATTTATAGATGTCTTTAAATGATAAATAAGTTACAATTTAACTTTATTGTACTCTTTTGAGTATACAATATATTTCATGTTTTTCATAAGGATGACATCTTTGCAAAGAGGAACTTTTGCATAATTTTAGTGACTGCAATTATAAAGAGCATGTACATATATTACTAATATTACAAATATGTTTCTGTATTTGTTCTCTTTTTATACAAGACAAGACTACAGCATATGATGTTGACAAAATATTTAAATTTTACCTATAAATAGACTATATTTAAGATTTTATCAAACATTCTGATGTTATATTCTCATACCAGAAAATGCAAATACCTTTAGATGACAAATGATGTTGTTTTCATGTAATCAGTCATTGAATTTACTGAAAACTAGTCCATTGATTGAATTAAATGAATTTTAACTATTGCAAATTACTATATGTTAATAGATATAGGTATTATTTGCTTATTTACTTTAAACAAGAAATTACTAGGAAAATTGCATTCATTTGAACTCTGCAAACTGTAAATAAAACATAATACATGTTTTTATGAAATCTTTAAATAATAAACACTTTCAGCAAGACTTTCAGCAAGACCATTTTCCAAAGGGACATTTTACCTTGAAATTTGTATAATTTAAGCACTTATAGGTAAAAGTTATTCATACTACATCATAGTACATCATAATGATAATCTAAATGATTAAAGCTACAAATGTTCATGGATCAATTACATGCAACTTTTTCACAGTATTAAATATTTATGGAAAAGTGCCAACTGTGAAAAGTGTAACTTAAAAAGCATGAAATAATTTCTACAAGTACAGTATCATGGTAGCAATTTTAAAGTAGAAATTGTAAAAGTGCTTACAGTTTTTTTTCGGCATATTCCAAAATGTTTGATAGTGCTTGCTTTTGGAACAATTTGGTTGATTTGTTCTAGCTTTCTCCCTTTGTATAGTTGGAAAGTTACCATGTATTATTTTACCAGTTTTGATGTTGCTGGAAATAAATCATGACATTTTTATCTTAACCCATTACTTCATATACACGCCTTTTAACGCCTTTTTCACCCCCCCCTTTTTGTTGACTCAAATGGTGAAAAAATGCATTATTTAGGCCCTTAACACTTGTTTTTGTTTTGAGAAATGTTGTTAAAAAAAGTGACCAC